CAAAACTTTGACTGGACAATCAAGAGGGTTACCTTAAAGGTCTGTAAAAACCCGAAAATGCCTCCTCCAAGCAAGAAAGGTCACACTTAGTTTTGAATTAAACCAAAAAGAGACTAAGGCATAAGCTGGAGAGGCCAAGACAGAACAGGGTATTCTAAATGAGCTTCCTCATGACCCTGTCAGCAGCTTCTTCGGAAAGAATCCTCATTACAACTGACCCACTAATGAATAGCTGTCATTCTCTCCAAAATCTTCCTATGTTTAGAGCTGCAAAGGAGGTTAGAAAAATTTAGAACAAAATTCTCAAGTTACAGATGAGGAAATAGGTCCAGAGAAATGAAATGACTCATCCAAGGTTGCTCAACTAGTCAAGGGCACACAGCTTGAGCTACAATGCAAGACCTCTGGCTCCCAGGAGCTGCTTTTTCCACTGCATCATTTAAGATAACACAAAGCATCCTCCAGGAATTTTGATAAAGTGAAAATAAAGGTGGCAGGGGGAAGAGCATGCCATTTGGGATTCCAAGTCCCTTAGTATAAGGGAGTTTTGGAGATAGCACTGACTTGGGGGTAATCAGATAAGTGACTACAACGTAGGGAATTTTGATGGGTTTACTTCCTAACACAAATGTTACCTGAACAATGGCAGACATGAAGACTGTTAGATGCTCAGAGTTTTCTGGAACAACAGACAGACTCTCTCCAAGGATCCAAAAGCAGGTCTGGGGCCTGACTAACAACAGGGCAATGTTTCTACCTTACCTTTTCACCAACGATGTTTCAATAGGGCCCTAACAAGTGCTGCCTTTGGGGCTTAAGATTCAGTAACACTGGAGGCAAGGAGCTGAAAAAGGCCAACTAGAGAGTGGGGGTGGGGAGCAGAAAATACTTCCTCATCACTCTCTCCTTTTCCTTGTATTTTAGAACCAACAAAGCTGCAGAAATTTCCCTTCCCACACAGCAATACATCTTTGGGTTATGTGCCGAAACCTGACACCGATCTAGAAAGCTTTCAAAATCCGTTGGTACAGCCTTGTCGAGGCACATTCCTGCTTTGGAGAACTTAGGCAGCTTTTCCTCCAACCTCACCAGGGCTGAGCACAAAAGCTAACCCAGCCCCTGTGGCCTGGGAGGGTCAGTTTTTGCAAATCTTATGCAGCTCTCTGCTGCGCCAGGCTCGACAAGCTCTTGCTCCTAATGCAATTTCAAGTCAAATGCGTTTTTCCTCCGTTCAAATGATTGATTCCCAACACTATCAGCCACAGCACCCGCGTTCCCTCCGCTGCCCCCCTTCTCGCTCTCATCAGAAAGGCCTGAAAGGAGGCGTCCTGAGCTGACCCACCCGCCCTGCAGCCACGTGCGGCGGCTCCTGCCCGCTAGCAGATCTGCAGAGCGGACGGAGGGCCGCGGCAGCGTAGTAAAGCGTAGTACAGCGAGGAGGGAAACAAAATGGGGCGCGTCACATGGTCATGGCCTGGATTTTTCTCAATTAAAATCAGAGGAAGTGTGTGTTTCCGGCCTCTGTCAGCGGCTGCCGGGACGCTTTCATTCTTAGGATTCTGGGCTCCGTGCACCAATAAGGCTGCGTGTACAGCCTCCCCTGGGAGGCGGGGGCCGGGGGCGCGCGCCCGGCGGGCTGCTGGGGGCGCGGGCGGGAGGGCGGAGGCGGGGGGCGAAGGCCACGGGGCGCACGCGGCCGCCAGCTCCCGGGCCCAGGAGCCCGCCCCGCCCTCGCCCCGCCCCGCGCCCCGCCCCGTGCCCGCCCGCTCGGCCGACCCTCGCGCTGATTGGCTGTGGCGGCGGCCAATCAGCGCCCGCCCCGCCCGCTCAACGCCGACCCCGCCCCGCGCGGCCCGGGGGGCCGGGCGCCGCCGCCGCGGGACCCCGCGGCCCAGGAAGGGCCTCGCGGCCGCAGCGCCCCGCTGCCCCCGGGACGGGCGGGGAGGGGGCTGCCCGGGGCCGCCGCTCACCCGCCCCCGGGCCAGAGGGGCTGGAGGAGCGAGGAGGAGCCAAGAGCCGAATAAACAGGGGAGGCGCGCAGGGAGCGGGGCGCCACGAGAGGCCGGGCCCGAGGTCTGCGCGGGGCGGACAGGCCGCGGGGGGGGGGGGGTCGGGGGGGCCGGAGGGAGGGACAGGAGGGGCCCGGGGGGCGGGGAGCAGGGGGCGGCGGCCGCGGGGACGCGGAACCCTGGAAACCGCAGGGAAAGAGGAAGAAAGGAAAAGGGGCGCTCGGTTTGGGGGGACATCAGACACGGCAAGGACGCACCCTGGACGCCAGGAGGGCTGGGCCCGCCCGGCTGCGGCTCCGAGGCTGAGTCAAAGGGGCACGACACGCTGGAGAGAGGAGCTGGGGGCGCCCCGGCCTGAGGGCCCTGGCGCGCCCCGGATTTCCTCTGCAGAGAGGGGGTCACGAGCCCTGGGAAACCCGGAGACGGAGGGGAGGGAAGCCACAAGCAAGAAATTAGAGATGGAAAACAAAGGTCGTGGGAGGGGAGGGGACTGGAAACCACCCAGCAGGTGGGAAGAAGTCAGGTTGCCAAGAGAGAAAGGGGTTTGGGACAGGGGTGGAGCGGAAGGGTCCCCAAATCCCTGAGCACCTGAGCCAACTACCTCTCAAATGTTCTCCTGTAATAGACGGTGGGAAAGACTTTCCTCTCATGGTGCAGCTTTCACCTGAGAAAAGGGGAAAGAGAAGGAGAGGCAGCAACTGCCAAGGACTTCAAGAAAGAGCTGAGATTTCACACATGGAAACATCCTCATTCCCAGGAAAAGTTGTGTGTGCCAGGGACTGGTAGGATTTCTTTTGTCTCAGATGATGGCTATCAAATCACGTCTTGAGACTCCACGGGGCAAAAGCAGGCAAACTGAATGCAGAATGTGAAAGTGCCAAGTAGCATTTGGTGCCTCACTTAAAACACACACATACACACACACTCACACACACACTCCCTCTTCTGTCTCCTTTCACATCTTACCAACACACACATCGTAGAATTGTTCTGGCACGATACTGTCAAAGCACGGTCTGCTACTTCGAGATTATTAGGGATATGATTATATGATTATTCCGGAATGTAATTATTTTCCGTAGGAAAGCTAAGAATAGATTGTTTTGTTTGGGTTGGTTTGTGTCTCCTCCACACAAGAAGCAAAGCCTGTTGGAAAACACAAACTCCCTTTGCTCACCAGTTTTCTTCAGAGCAAATATTATTCATTCTATATTATAAAAAGAAACCTTTTCAAATTAAAAAAGCAGATGAGGAGAACAGTTTCTTAGCCTCTTCTTTCCTCGCTTTATAACCAATATTTTAATTCTGCTTGGTTTTTATCCTTCAATCTCATTACTTTCTAAAGGAAACACTTTGAAACACCAACGTAACCGTCTCTTAGAGGGTTTCACCTTTTCCTAAACATTGGAAAGAAATGAGATTTTTTTCTGTTGCTGTTGATACAATTAAATATCTGTTCAGTGAACCATGAAAATAAAGGCTGACTACTGATCAAATAAAGGCTTTTCAATAAATCATATCACTTGAAATCTCTGGTCACCTACCCCTATCTTGGCCCACAAAAGAGAGAGTGGTATGAGTCAAATACTGGAAATGGTGAGCATCAGGGAGACTGACTACATAATAAGCAGACACCCAGTGCACAAAATCATTTTCTTATGAATGGGCACATGTTTCGAAGAAGAATGTATTTCAAGCTCATTCTGTGAAGCATATATAGAAAGACTATCACATGATAATCAGTTTGTCAGACTAAAGTGTTTCCAAATGCTGGAAACTTCTGCATTGCCAACTCATCACATTATTTGCAAACTATCCTCCTCTTCTTCCCACAATTATGACCACCAGAAAATAGGCTCAACAGAAAGAAAGGGCAGGCTAATTTCCTATTACAACTGTTTTTCATTTTCAATACAGCCTTAGCCACAGAAGATCTAAGGCCAACTTTCAACATTTACTGAGGCGTCGGCTCTTGAACTTATAGGCAAACAGTAAATACCCTCCAAAGGAGCAGGACAAGGTTTAGCCCTCCCAGTCAATGCAAAACAAAACAAAACAAAATCCCTCCACTTCCCCGACTTAATCCTCCTCCTTTTCAACGTGAAAATGTTAAGTGATTTCACAGAAGATGTACAGTTGCCCCCAAACGCTGTGAGATGTCTCTGAGCAAGCCACTGCAGGAACAGACAACTGCAAGGCAGACATGCTGGGATGAATTTCCATAACTCTTAACTAATAGTGGGTCCCAGACGCCTGCAGACTTCACTGCATATCCCGTGTGAAAGCGGCCATGCCTGCGAGGTGGTGGGTCTGTGTGTAATATTCCATAAATCTTGCTCCGGGAACCAAGGGAAAACATCACTCGTAATCACTTTCTAAAAGAGACTCTTAAGAGACAGGCTGGTATTTCTAAGTGAGCCTAGGCAATCTCTTACTCCTCCATCTTTTTAGGGCAGCATGAATAAGAAGTGGTGTTCCCCCACTGTCATTTAGGTTGTCCTGGAACTGTGTAATCCCAGAACTAAAATACGAAGAGCAACTCGATAAGATCACCCTGAAGGGTTCCAAGAAACTACCTTAAACGAAAGATTTAGCCCTTGTTCTAACAAATATTTTTGTAGACTTGTCCCTTCTAGGGACTGTCCTAAATATACCATCCAAAGAAAACTTTGATAGATACCAAGGTTCGGATACGTAAACTTCACAAACTGCTACCATTGGACTGTGTTTTCAGTATGCTCAAGTATTATTTCACTTGGGAACCTGGAATGACAGAGCTCCTCCAGGATGGCCGCTCCTGCAGGCTTATTTGAGTACTGGCAGGTGTCCTTGTGGGTGAGCATTCTGGACACCCTGACCTCCCTGCTCCTGTAAGCACTCCCTAAGGTCACAACGGGAAGGGAAGGAAGGGGGCAGAGGCAAAGAGGAACGGAATTCAAGCACAAGGTTAGAAACAGTTTGCCCTTCGGACTTTGTCACCAAGAAACGCACCTGCTGTGATGTCCAGTTCAGCTACTGGAGGTCCTCTGGCTGCTTCTGGAAACTGATGCTGGCATAGGCGCTTAAATCCTCACTGGAGTGGCTGGTGGAGCTGCTCTCACTGCTGCCCAGAGGCTGATGAGGGGGCAAAGCTGGGGGAGGCTGCACTTGCGGGGGACACTCCTGCGGGCATTGTTTGAAGTCCTTGACCAAGTCCAGGTCTATGTAGTTAAGACCATTCTCCAAACCCCCAGCAGCCCCACACACTTGGGCCGGCTCCTTGGGGGCTCCCCCAAGCTCCCCAGGCCGCAGCCACACGTTCTCAAAGGAAGCAGAGCTGTGGCGTTTCACATCCTCCGTGCTGCTGCTGCCCCCACCATTGCCCCCTACGGCGGCCCCTCCTCCGAAGGGCCGGGTGGCACTGGGTGTGGAGGAGAAGGTCTCGGAGCTGTGCCGCCTCCTGCACCCTTGTGGGTCCGCACGGATCACTTTGGCACTCTGGTTGCGGTTGGGACTGAGGCTCACCCGGGTGAAGGCGCTCAGGCCCGCAGGTCCCTGAGGGCCCCCCAGCAGGGAAGAGTGGGCTGCCAGCTCCCCAGCTCCTGGAGGTGCAGTGGGAGAAGTAGAGGCCGCTGAGGACGAGGAGGGGGCGGCCGCTGTCGCCCCCGGAAGGCTGGCCTCCTCCACAACAACGCCTGTCCGCATGTCAGCGTAGCTGACCGGGGCAACTGGCGAGGTGTCCACGTAGCTCTGCCGGGAGCAGCCCATCTGCATGGTCATGTAGTCCCCCCGGCTGCTGGGCACTGCCCGGGTGGGCCTACACATGCTAGCAGCCCCGGGGGGTGCGGGACCCGCTGTGCCGGCCTGCACCCCAGGGCTCTCCTGCCAGGCGGCCCTCCGGCCCGGCCCCAGGTCCATGTTCATGTACTCTTCCGTGCCAGTCTCCTCCTCCCGGGGTGCTGGCTGGAGCTGGGAGGCACACCTGACAGAAGGCGAGCTGTGGGGGGCCATAGGGCCTGATAGGTAACCCGGCTGATCACTCCCAAATTCGATATTCACGTACTCCCCTGGGCTCTTGGGCTCTGGAGGGTGCAGCAGGGGTGGCGGTGGCTGCTGCTCGCGAGCCCGGGGCAAGGTGCTGGCCTTAGGATCCCCCAGGGACAGCCTCGTGGGCCGAGTCAGGCGGCTGTGGGTCTGGGCAGCTGTGTCCACCTTTTGGGGCAGGTGGGGCTGCAGGACCTGATGGTGGAGATGCGGGAGGCCCGACTCCGGCCGCACCCCACAGTAACCCCCGCCCAGACTATCGCTGCTGGTGGAGGAGGAGGAATCTTCCGCGGCTGCAGCACAGAGGAGCCGGCCGGAGCTGGAGGAGAGACGGAGGTGCTGGTGTCGGGCGCCCTCCTCCAGCTCCCCGGGGCGCTGGGTGTGCTTAAAGGACCTTGGCAATGAGTAGTAGGAGAGGACTGGCTTGTGCTGGGGGTCTTCGGGGCCATAGTAGCAATCGGAGGGGCTGCTGGTGTTGGAGTCCCCCACCGGTGACATGTTCATGTAGTCACCTGTGCACGACAAGAGCTTGCTACCACTGCTCTCCACAGGTAGTTTGGGGTGCGGCAGGGCATGGGAGTGGTGGCCCCCTACCCCATTTGTCCATAGCTTGCCACAGCTGCTCCCAGAAGGGGCAGCGTTGCTGTTGCTGGGCCCACCTCCAATGTCGGGAGAGCAGCTGCCACTCGGGGACATCATCATGTAGCCATTGGGGTCCACCCTCTGGGGATGGCGCCGGATGGGGTTGATGATCTGCTGCGGGGCAGACACGCTCTTGGGGCTCATGGGCATGTAGTCCCCACTGCCCTTCCGGCCGCTGGGCACGGGAGCCACCCCTGGGGACATGGGCATGTAGCCATCATCAGTGTGGAGGGCGGAGGCGTCGGGGCGGTGATGGCCCCCGCGCCGCTCCATGGGGTGCATCTCCAGAGCCTCCTCGGGGTAGGAGTGGGTGGGCACAAAGGCTGAGTGCCGGTAGCCGGGCAGTCGGCCGCCACTGCCCCCTCCCGGTGGGTAGGCGGGCATCATCTCTGTATATTCCTCAATGGAGGCCACCGAGGACTGGGACGGGGTCTTCTGGTGGGAGATGGTAGGGGAGGTGCCCGCAGAGTGAGTCCGCTTTCGGAACCGGTTATCCAGATCTGCAGCGCTGGCGGCCTCCTCCCCAGCCAGGGCTGGGCTCAGGCCCAAGCTGGCTCCTGGGGTGTAGCGGTGGCCGTTGCCACCTCGAGGCAGAATGTAGTGGCCATTGGGGGCGGCCAGAGTGGAAGGGCCCTTGCCGCCCATGCAGATGTAGTTGCTCAGCTCCTCCTCGCCCCGGGCGGGTGGGGTGTGGCCCAGCGAATCCGGGGTGACGCTGCGGAAAGAACTGCGGAAATCGCAGGGGCTGGAGCCGTACTCGTCGGAGGAGATGAAGCCCCCGTCGCTGGGGGACCCGGACACGGACGCGCTGGACCGCCGCGGGAAGAGGCAGTCGGAGGTGGAGCCGTGGCCGCTGGTGCTGCTGGAGGACAGGCTGACCGGGCTGGTGGCAGAGGGCGAGCAGCGGGAGGAGGGCATGGGGATGGAGCGGCTGTGGTTGAGCGGCGGGTGCAGCCGGGAGCTGCCCCGATGGCGGTGGGCGTGGGTGCGGTTGGTGCTGGGACTCACGGGGCTGCCGTCCACGGAGGCCGGGCGGGACATGGTGCCCTCGCCGTCGCTGGAGGCCCGCACGCGAAAGGAGCCCTGCTTCCCGCCCACCAGGCTGGCGGGGGACGTGGCGGTGATGCTCTCGGTGCGCGAGCGGCGCGTGAGCCCCACCTGGCTGGGCGGCGGGTTGTTGAGGTGGTGCCGGCGCAGGGGGACGCTGATGGGGTTGGAGCAGTTGGACGAGGACTGGCTCTTGCTTCGCGGGCGGAACTCATCGCTCATGGCGCGCATGGCCTCCAGGATGGTCTCGTGCATGTTCTGGGCCACCACGGAGTCATCCACCTGCATCCAGAACTCCCCGGGCCCCGTCACGGCGGAGCGGCCCACCTCGATGAAGAAGAAGTTCTCAGAGTGGCCGCAGCGCCTGATGTTCATCAGCTGCAGCACCACGGCTGCCGCCTCCGAGTTCAGCTTCACGAAGCTGATGGTCTTGCTGGTCAGGCAGAGTCGGTAGATGCCAATCAGGTTCTTTGTCTGCCCCAGGCCCTTGGGCTTCAGGATCACCTGCCAGACCTCCTTGAACGCGGGCCCCGGGGGCACGTCCCCGTAGCTCAAGTCCTCCCCGGCCTCCCCGAGGCCGGAGCTGCCACTGCAGCTGCCGCCCCCGACGCCGCCGGCCCCCGACGCCGAGGCCCCGTCGTGGTGGCCCTTGGCACGGTTGTGCAGCTGCAGCAGGGCCTGGTACCAGCTGTCCTGCTCGGCCTCGCTGTCCGCCGCGATGGCGAAGTGCTCGTCCCGGGTGTAGAGGGCCACCAGGTGCTTGTTCTTGGAGTCAGCCCGCTTGTTGATGTTGAAGCAGCTCTCGAGGGGGATCGAGCGTTTGGGGGCGCTCGACTTGTGCCGCCACTTCTTCTCGTTCTCGTAGTACTCGAGGCGCGCGGGGCCCCCCGTCTCGCTGGCCGCCCGCAGCACGAAGAAGCGCTTGTGCATGCTCTTGGGCTTGCGCAGGTAGCCCACTTTGCGCACGTCCGAGAAGCCGTCGGTCTCCGGAGGGCTCGCCATGCTGCCGACGCCGCCACGGCCGAGCAGAGGGAGGCGCCGAAAAACAAGCGGGTGGGGGGCGGAGGCTCCGCGCCGCGGCCCCGCACATGCAAACCGGGCTGGAGGCGGCAGAAACCCGGACCCCAAGATCCGCGCCGCCCCCCGCGCCGAGGAGGGGCCGTCCACGGGGGACGCGGCCGCCGCGCCCGGCAGAGAGCCCCGACCCGAGTTCACGGGCGTCTCATGCCCGGGGGCCAGGCCGGGCGTCCGGCGGGAGCGCAGCCCGGATCCTCCGCGAGCCCAGAGTCCGCTCAGCCGCCGCGGCCGCGAAGGGGCGAAGCAGCATCTCTCGCCGCCGGGGGCTGGAGTCCGGCGCGGGCGGGCGGCGGCGCCTCGGAGTCCCCGCGCCGTCCCTGCAGCGCGCGCGCCTTCGCTCCGAGTTCCCCTCTGGAAGTAGCGATTCCCGAGGCAAATTAAATATCCTTGGGCAGGGGGAGGCGAGCTGCCAAGTCCCAACGTTGCACGGGGTTCTCCCTCCTCCTCTCCGCCTCCTCCCGCCCTCCCCCACCGTCGCCGCCGCCACCAGCCGCCCAAATACCAGCTCAAGCGCGGAGACCGCGGCGCTGCGGCTGTTGCTGCCGGGGCTGGCGCCGCCCGCGGACGCGTCCTCTGCAGCCCGGGTCGGGCCCATCTGGGCGACGGAGCGGGGGGCTGGTCCACGCCGGAGGCTACCGGGCGGCCGGGGGCGCGGGGGCCGGCCGGGGCGCCGAGCTCATCCCTGCGCGCGCTCCGGCCGGCGGGGCGCAGGGAGGGGACGGGCCGGGCGGCGCGGGGGAGGCTTGGGAAGGGGCGGGGGAGACGCCTCTGCCCGGGAGGCGCGGCCGCCGCAGTTACTTCGCTCCCCTCCTCCCGCCGCCTCCTCGGAGAGTTGCCGAGAGCCCCAACCAAAACAAGCGGCGGCGTCTGGCTCGGCGCGCCGGCCCCTCCGGCCGCGCCGCCGTCTCGCCCGGGGAGAAAGCACGTGATGGAGCCGCCGCGCTCCGCAGCCCGGCCGCCGCCGCCGGGAGGCTCCCGCCCGGGTCCCTACATTCCCGGCCGAGCCCGCCCCGCGCCCGCCCCTCTCCGCCCCCCGGCCGTGCCGCAGCGGCGCCCGCGCCGGGCCTGGGCGCAGCGCTCGGGCAGCGCCCCTCCGCGGCCGCCGGGCCCCGCGCCGCGCCCGCCTCCCCGCGCGCCACCCAGGGCGCCCCCGGCCCGCAGGAATCCCCGCCGCGGGCGGGGGTGTTTGGGTGGCTCCCCGAAAGCAGGAGGGGAGTCTGGGAAAACGGGGGGGGCGAGCTCGGGAAGACGCAGGAGTAAGGGTGGGGGGCGGCGGGGGGGCACTGCGGCGGCAGAACCCCGCGTGGGAGGGCCGGGGAGGGGGGCGCGGGAGCGCGGCTGGATCTTACCTAGCAGGTAAGACCGACCCCTCCGGAGGGAGGTTTCTGGTCAAGGCATTTTCTCCCAGGATATACACAAGCTGGGTTTCAGTTTCGGGGTAGGAGACCCCGGCGCGCGCGCTGTTTTGCGCAGGTTTTCTAAGGCACTTCTGGACCAGCTTCCACCCTGGAATCCCCGCGTTTGCTGCAGTGAGGGGCGCGCAGGGCAGGGGCTGGGGCCGGAGGGGGCTGCGGGCGCGGGGTTTTCTGGCCACTTTAGAAGGTTAAGAGGGATCGCTGGAAGCGCCCGAGCCCCGCGCTGTAGGGTTACCCGCAGATCAAACAGGGGGAAATGTAAATATCACCGCCTCTCTCCGGGCCCCCCATCCGAGCAAGGGGGCGGGATTCACACGCAGGGGTGAAGGCCTGGGCAGAAAAAGCGATGCCCCTTACCACAGTTCGGTATCTTGTTGTGATTTTAAAAGAGATAGTAGGGACCTACAAGGGACCCGCAGGCCCAAGCCCTAATGTGTAAATATTGATGGAAAGGTTTCACACACGCCTTCCACACCCACTGAACCACCCCATACAATTTTACCCTTGACCTCAAGGATAAGCCGAGAAAACAAGGATGGTGCCAGCTGAAGTGTACTGGAAAATGGGGACTTCTGGAGCAGAACAGGTCAGCAGCCCGGGTGTACTTGGAGAGACTTCCAAGGTTACCTGGCGGTGTCACTCTCAAGCAAACACTCCTCAAAGTTGTTGTTGTTTTTTTTTTTTTTTTTTTTTTAAGCTGACCTATAAACAAGCAGTTTGTTCCCTGTTTGCCCAGCTGGCATGAAGGCCCCTAGAAAGATGACGTTTATCACTCGATTTCATGCTATCTTGTTTTTCCACCCATTCCTGCCGGGTTTGGGGTTTCGCCCCCTGGGCACGCGGGAGACCCTGCTCGGCGGGCTGCTGGCGGGCACTGCGGGATGCCCGCGGGCCGACGCGGCCGGGCAGGCGCTGGGGAGGCTCGCTGGCCCCGCCGCGGGGAGGTGCAGAAGCGCGCCTGGGCCTAAAAGAGGAGGGAGGGACAGGGGGAGTTCCTTGGGGCAGCCAGCTGATTGGTGGGGCTCCCTGTCTTTCAAGTCTAGCCTTGCAGGAGGGGAGCTGGAGAGGGAGGGTGAGGGTACCAAGGTAGGTTGCAAAGCGTAGTAAAAAAAAATAATAATAATAATAAAGGATCCGTAGGCGCCATGCAGCGGCGTATGCTATGTGAATTGGGGCACCCGACAAATGCAGGGGGACTATTCTCCACCCAAGCCCGGGAGCTGCTCATTTCTCCACCCACCTCTGGTTTCCAACCATCCTGCAGGCTCATCTAAACCTGGTTAATCTATAATTTGTGTACACACTGTTGAAAACCCGCCCTCCTCTTCCTCTGACAGCCTGGTGATGTGGGCACACGTGCCCACTACAGCAGCGCTATAAATAGCAATTATTTCGAGCTGGTAATGAGGCGGCAGGAACAGCGACCGAGCTCTTGGGGGTACATCGGGCTTCCTGGGGCGCAGGGGAGGGGGTTGCGGAGGAGGGAAACCCCAAGTTAGGAAAGAGTTAATTTAACTCTGCGCTTTTACCCTTGGCCAGAGAAAGGAGAGATAAAAGGTTTGTTTACTAGTAACAGTGTAATCTTAAGGCCAAAGGGCTTTGACAGGTCTGACGTTGATCGCGGGGCGGGGGAGGAATATTTTGCTTTTTGTAGGAAGACAATTCAAATCCATAGTTTTACTCTTCCAGTGATCTCCTGCCCCCTTCACACTCCCCCCCCCAAAAAAAAAACACTAAATAAAGGGACTTTACCGCTTTGAAAAATAAAATACTCTTTCCCAGAGGACAGGAAAATATTTCATTTGCAAATATTCTACAATAGCTTTCACAGAAAGGGTTGGATTTTTTGATAATTATTATCATAATAGTTACAATAAGTGCTTTTAAAATATCTGTCTTGATGGGAAAGAATTTTGTTTTAAAAACAATTTTAGTGATTAAAATATTCCATGGAAATCATGAAATAAGGCAGATCACTGGGACAAATTCCATTCACATCAGTGTATTTCATAAGGAATGCAATCGCTGATCCTCAGATGTTGTCATTTCTTCCTACTTGCCAATGTTTTACTATGTTAAAGGTAGTTAATATTTATTATAATTATACTATATTAAGTTCGTTTGTTCTCTACTTTTTTAATTAATGGGTTGAGATCATTCTAGAAATGCACATTTGGTTTAGATAATATACAGAATAGAAAGAATAGAATGCTTTTGTGGAATGTAACTGAAGTAATTTTGAGCAGGTACAAATATTATCCTGTCATCTTACGCTAAATTAGCCTTGTGGTGTCGTGCAATAAAATACTGTATAAAAAAGTCACTCCTAACTGAAAATCCATTGAAACCAAAAAGCAACATGCTACCCGATAGATTGCTCAATGCTGCCATCTCTAGGACATTTATAGATGCCGTATGGTCACAGTTTTCAAGAGGGCTGAAATAATGATTCTTCAAAACAATGCCGATAGCTGTGTTGATAAGATGAATGCAGTTATGATTCCAAGAGTTGAAACTTTACATACCACGGGTGCACTATTGGGCAATATACAATGAGCTCTATTTTTTTTCTTGGCTAAATTTATTTTAAAATATTTCAGTACGTTGTTTAATGATAATCAATCTAGAGATCAAAATGATCATCAATAACTATTAAAATTATAACATATTCACTGACGATGAAGAGGAATTACTCAAATTTGCCAGCATATGTTTGGAGGAAAATATGAGTGTTTGTTGTGGTAGCCATGTTTTTTATGTGTGGTTGTTTCTTCAGGTTAGACAAGAGTTTATTGAGAGCCTCCCCTCCAGGACCTCAGTTTCTAAGTCATTTTTCCCACTTAGAGATAGATCTTGTGTGGGAGTCCCAGGAAGGGCAGGGCAGGGGCCTGCATACTTCTCCATGTTTTCCTCCCATTGTGTGCACAAAGCTGGCAGATTCAGTGACCCAGGGCAAGGTGGATCTTGGCAGATTCAACGAAAAGACACAAATCTATCATCAAGTACAAGACTGAGGCTGCTGTCTACATCTTCTTCCTTCCTGCAGCTGCTGCATGAACCTGACAGTCCTGGATGGGGAACAGGAGCAGGCCAATGCCAGGAAGATCCTGCTAGAGATGGGCGAGTTCTTTCAGATGCAGGATGATTACCTGGGCCTGTTTGGGGATCCCAGTATGACTGGAAAGATTTGACTGACATCCAGAACGGCAAATGTAGCTGGTTGGTGGTCCAGCATCTGCAGCGGGCCTCTCCAGAACAGCACCAGATCCTACCGAATTATGAGCAGAAGGATGCAGAGGTGTCCCAAGTGAAGGCACTATATAGGAGCTGAATCAGCCAGCAGGTAATAGATACATGCTTCCAAAAGCACAGCATCATTGATGGCATCCAAACCTATGCCCAGTTTTTGGTAGCAGCAGGGCCATCCCAGTAGGGTGAGGGGTGAATCCAGGATGTCATCTGACATCAGGAAGAATGCCTGGAGCAGGGCCACACACCAGCCCTATCAGGCCCCGCATGAGACGTTCAGCTGCTTCCATGGCTCCACCAGCGCCCAGAATGCTACCAGCATGGTCAAAGCTCAATGGTATGTGCCTTTAAGAACATTTACTCCAGGACCTCCATAAGCCAAGCAATAGTGTCATCTGTCTCAGGTGCCCCAGCTCATCCACACCTTGACAATCTGGGAGAAGTACTGGATGAAATCCTGCTTTTTTTGGTGATAAATGTCCAATTTTTATCTCCATTCATTTTGAGAGAAGTAAAGTGATCTGTTCCTAGATGCAGGAACTTGCTGTAGAGGCAATGTTCATAACATTATAGACCTTTCCAGGGTCAACATTATGATTCAACACCTGTCTACTTTGTCATCTCTAGAATGCTATTCACCACGCCAGAAGTCTAAATTCCATCCATCATCCCAGAGGAGAGGGGTTGGTGGGGGGAGGGGGCAATGTAAAGGAGGCCAATAGAATACTGATGGATGGATGCTATTAGATTCAAAATGAAATGGTCTATATGTGATACTGTCAGGGTATTTTTAGCGGCAGCAGGGCACAGAGCAGGATCTCTATGACCGGAGCAGACTGGTGAAGGAGAGTCCTGGAGCCCTCGGTGACTTTTGCAGGCTTTTATTGGGCTTACCTGGTACATGGCAGGCAGGGGTGCTGTGGTGCCGGGAGGCTGGCAGGCCTCCCAGCCCCCAGCAAGTCTTCACTCTTTCTGGGCTCTCTGGCATTCTCTTGCTTGTTCCCCTTCTAGTAGTTTTCTTTCACTCTGCTGGCATCCCCGTGACACTGCCCTTATAAGCCCAGTCTTAGCCCAGGTGTACCCACCTTTGCATGCCCACACCCTACCCCAGGTGCCCGCCATCAGGCATGCATTCAGGGCCACAAGGATCTATGATCAATCCTAATGGCAGGAGGGCAGAAAAGCCTGACAATTATTTACCCTACAGTATTGAACAAACTTTGTCAATTATTAC